ATTTTATGACTGAACTCAACTTCAAGACCTTCGGATCGGTTCCCATCAACAGCGACAGCACCGGAGCGCTGACAGTGGCCGGGAATGTCATGCACTCTCAAGGCACGAAGCACGTGGCCCTGAGGTACTTTTTCATCCGGGAGCTAGTACTACGGGGACAAATCACTCTTCACCACCGGCCCAGCGAGCACCAGTTGGCTGATATCGGGACCAAGTACCTCCCAAAGCACCGATTCGCCTCCATCATTCAGCAGATCAAGGACTTCTCGTGTTGATCGAAGATCTGTGAAGCTTCCTTCCATACCCGCCATACTAGAAGGAATATATTTTCGATACGATGCCAACGGACGGGTCGAGGTAGACAAGGACATGGTGATGCCGTCGACCAATGTGAATTAGTTGCTTGATCGAGGGGTAGTGTCAGGAAAATCGTGCGTCGAGACCACCAGTAGTCGGCCACGGTTTGACCTTTGAATACGATTGCAGCAACTAGTCTGCGTAGCAGTAGAAAAGAATCCATCTCTCCTTGGCATGTATTCTCTTGTTCTAGAAATATTCCGGAAGCATCCTAGGTCAAGGTTGACCGGGACATCTATGAAGAACGTTTGTAGCTTCTGGAAGCTTTTTGGAAACTTCTGGTTCCTTCTGTAAGCTTCTGGAAGCGTTCTAGATCTAGGTTGCAGTTGATACTCTTCTAGAACGTAGGAGGACTTCCAGAAATCATTCTGGAACCATTCTGGATCTTTCGTGTGATTGTCTTATTTGTCCGGTATTCGAGAAGAGTGGTGCAGCCCTAAGCTCGCCCACTCCTCTCACTCCTCTTCAGTACCAGCAACATCTGACTCGGGAGTCAGCAACTAATAATATCATCTTCATATTTTTATTCCAAGTCTCTCGCGGTTGGAGGCGCACAGAGTGTGAACCTCTGAGGTAGGCTACACAGCCTCCAGGCATCTGCAGCATCGTACTGCTGCTAGTGCAGAGCGAAATATCGCTGACACGAACCGGACCATACTGCTTGTACCTGTTGGGAATAACGCATCCTCCCAAAGGTGCAACTCCTATCAACCGTAACAACGTAACCGTAACACATCTACACCCTTGTATCTGACGCACTAGTGTCGACCCAACTCCACAACTGCGCACGCCTCGCGGCAGGTGCGCAGCAGCAAGTAGGTATCGGTCCCTTGAGGGTGAGTCTAGCCCTGCTCGCTAGAAAGATCCCTCCCCTCGCTATGGGTCATGCCTACGCAAAACCTTCCCGAGGCAGCGAGGGGAAGCAGAAAAGGGTGGGGGCCACCCAAAAGTGCTGAACCCGGATTTTGTCGAACTGAAGAATCTGGCTGTCCAAGAAGCCGGATTTCTGCCAATACTGAAAAGTGAAGCTTTTTGGGAATGGAACCCAGGTGTATAATAATCACCCTTACCGTTGGGAAACTGAAAATCTAGCTCGAACTTTCTTTTTGGGTACTACAGCATTATGGACCAGGCATCGACCACATTTTTTTTGCCTAACGCGACGACAACGAGCTACAATATAGTAGCCGAAACCAAACCATTTGACTAGGCTTGATTTCGGCTTCTATGCTTAGTTGTGGCGTCGCGACCCAGGCTGGACATTTTGAAATGATTTTTCCTGGGACCCTGGAAACTCCCGGCCAGAGAATAGGTGACGGAAGGACTTGTGGACCCTGAAAATTCTGTAGGATGTGGGTGGCGAGTGATATGAAGCGAACAAAACATTGGACGGATAGTAGCGCCGGCAACGGGAGTCATCCTCCTCGGAGGAAGTGAAAGTGACGGGGCTCACGAACCTCATGACTTAATTCTATAGAAGCCGAAATCAAACCATTGGACTAGTCAGCGCTGACTCCTCCATGGGTTTGATTTCGGCTTCTGTAAAACCATGACTGTATGGGATAACAAGTACGACGACGAAGCACACTTTAATACGATGCGAACAATTTTGCACGTGTCGAGCATGGATCACATAATGCTGCCGACCCACAGACGCACGTATAGTCTAGGTGTCATCATATTGTGGTCGCCGCACAATGGGACTCCTTGGGACTATCCCTTACCTGGCACTACTACCACAAGGAAACCGAAACGTAACGATTGACACGGCAATACCCACTCCACGGCCGTGACAGAATCCGGTTCTTATGATCGAGTCAGAGCGGGGCACTTCCCGTCAACAGACGTTGCGGCACGCCGCGGTAGTGTTCACAAACAGTTTGGTTGTGTCTTGCACCTTTGTCGGGTGCCGCTTTGGATCGTGCAGGACGTCGTGATATCTGTTTGGGTGTACACTACCAGGGCAATGCAAGTACGTGAGTGTCCATGCCTAGCTCCTCATAGATGTATACCGTAAATGACACAAGATGACACGCCCCCTGGACCGATGTTCAAAGCTCGATTTCTCCACGATGAAGAGGATGTATGATATAAACGAAACGATACACGTTCGAAAAGCTCTCGACGAGACGGTTTCAACGCCGCCGTTTTCGGCGCTGTGACTGTTCCGGCAGTTGAGAAATCAAGCTTCAAAAATCGGTCCAGGGGGTGTGTTAAATTGTGTCATACGGTATATATATGTGCTTCTTGACGTCTCCATGCATATCGCTGGGCATCAAGTGGTCTTGGTGCGGCACAGTACCTCCTGCGCGTTTAGGTAATGTACACCTTTTGTCGTGTGTCACTGTGGATCTTCCAGACTTAGTGCCATCTTATTGCGTGTACGTATCCTGAGCTAGAAAAGTACGTGCACGTATGTAAAATTTTCTCAGTATCTTCACGTACAGATAGCGCCCGCACTAAATAACTTGTAGTTTCAGCCGAGGCCGGGTTTATTTGTTCTTTTTACGGGCTATGAACGGACGCATGGCCGCATGATAGGTTTAAGTGCAGGAGTTCCTAACCGGGCTCCAAATGTGCTCAAGCTCTTAGCTTCCGAATTTTTCGAGGTTCCATTTCTCAACTATAAGTTCATGAGTGCAAGCGTTATCTGTATTTTCCTTCCTCGTCATTCATGCATATCGCTGGCCATCAACATTTCTTGGTGCTGCCCAGTACCGACTGCGCGTATGGGCATGGGGCAGTATCATCAACTACCTGCTGATGTCGACTGTGCTTCACTGCACGGAGACTCTTCATGGTTGGCAGCCGCCAGTCGCAATTTATTTCGGAGTTTCAAAATCAATTTTTGAACCATGTTGATGGGCTTTTTATCATCCCGTGGATCTCTTTGTCTCTTTGAGACAGTTGCTAGTTGGCCGGAGAAATGCCCGGCTCTTTCATTGACGTCCATAAAACTTTATCGACTAAATAATAGAGTGCGGCCGTCTTCCTTCTCCTCGTGCTTCACTTCCTCCCAAACCCTCACCACGATACGTCTGGTTTCGGCCGCCCGCCCCATTGGTAGGCGGGGGGCCGATCCCTCACCAGGTGGGATGTCTCAACTATTTCTCTCTTCCTCCTGTACCCCGGCGTAATTCGGAAGAGGGAAAGGGAACTGAACGCGCTTCCTGGAATATCCAACTCTTCCCGATTTCGTTTCCGAAATCTAGCTAGGTTTGTCTCAAATCCGAGATAATAACAGGGGCTTCCGCATACCTGTCGATTCATCTCTATTCAAGTACTTCACCCATGGGAGCACCCATGATGAAAATATGCAGCAATGCCAACACCGAACACACCCGACATAAAATAGGCTAGGGTTCCTGCTCAATTTCATTGCCCGAAACTGCCTACAACGCATAGCAACCTACACTCGTGCTACAGCCAACGGTAAAAACACGCTGCGGTCCATCGCTGCACCTGTTTCAGGACCTGCCTCTCGTTGTCTCTCCGCGTTTTAAATGGTTGGGGTCCTCCCGTCAGACAATGTTAGGTTCCGCGCAATAGAAGCCTGCACAACAGCATTTAACTACAGATATTTGTAGGTAGTTTCTCAAAGCGGTATACCAAGTCGCTCTAGAAGCACCCCAGGCAACCACGTTCGAAGAATGGAGTCCATCTCTTCGCGTATTGCCGGAGAAATCTCGTCCTCCCAGGTTCTCTTTGAAGACACCTGTTGTCCCCCAGGGTGAGGATCGCGCTTAACCTTCTGCTGCGCCTCTGGTAAGGTCGCGTCTATGTCCTTGATCCAGCTTGCGGGCAGCGCAAAGCCCGCGAACGATGCCCATCGGTAGTGCCAGCCTAGCGGGTCTCTCATCGCGTCTTCGTACCAGAATATTTCACTTTTGTCAGACAGTTGCCCATCGAACAAAAGGTGCCGAATCGTGGTGAACTGGCAGAGTTGCGGAAGTATCAGCAATACGGCCTCGTCCAAAGACTTGCCCCTGGACACGTGATCCGAGTAGAATGCTGGGTGACTTTTGACGTAGAAGTATGTGCTGACCGCCACTGCACGAGGGTCCCTTAACACCGCGAACTGCAGAGAATCATCTAGTAAGCAATGGCGCACAATGGTGGGGACATTCGGGTTAAACCATGCGGTCGGGTTTGCGTTGCGGGACCTTTTCATGGAACAATATATGAGGGCAACTACTCGAGCAGGTCGAGGTTGGGTTTGGTCGACCCGCACGCATGTAGAAGGGTGCACCTGCATACTCGCACGATGCTTCTTTCATGCAGAGCCACAAGTCTGTTGCATTTTCCACGGGTCGTCCGTTGAAGATCCCACATCCCTCCCCAACATTGGCGATCCCCCCACAGTGTTTCCAGCGGCAGGACTGAGCAACAGCAAACGAGTGCTTGGAACGAGTCGAAGCAGCAACCTCTACCCTGCACAACATACAAAGTTGCGGCCAGCGAATGAGAAACGTCAGTTTGGGGTCGAGGAACAACTCCGTATTTCGTCAATATCGGGTGTCCATGTAGACAGTAGCCAAGTCCCATCTATATTCGCTCCAGGCAACATAGACGAAGGTAGTCATACCCAAGCTGTGACAGTATTACTGCCTAAGCACGGTAGGTCTGTAGTATGTTCTACATAGGATGATACGAGTCGCCACCGTCGAGCAAAGCTCATTACGAGAGTTTAGGGTAAGATTCACGGCTGACGTTTCTTTCTCCGCAGACTTTGTTTAGCTAGATATCGCGAATCGTTGGGTCTCCCACACTTTCAACGGTTCCTGTAAACCGCCCCAGGCGTAATGAAGCACCCATGGTCTGCCCCTGGGACACCCTGCCCACGGGCTGCCCATGGGAATGCCCACGGGCAACCCCTTAAGTATCCCGTGGGCAGACATGGGCGGATCAGGGACCATCGTTGAGTACCCTTCAACCGAGACCAGCTCCTGAACAATTGATTTCTAGGGTCAAGAAATGGCTTCCCCGCCCCCCAACAGCCGCACAGCGATGCGGCATAACGCACTTCGTATGTATGTACATGCACGCTGTGCTCGCACGCGTAATGCCGTACGTGGAATGTTACGGAACAACGGTCGTTCGAAAAATCAAAGTTGACAGTCGTTTGTACGGGAAAGTGTGCATATAAGCACGTATGGGTTCGCACACGTGAGGCGTACTGGAACACATCCACAAAGGCTCGTGCAAAATCATTGCCTGTCAGTACAGTTGTATGTTGTTCAAGACTGAATAAGCTGTCGTTTGATCTAGGCATTCTATTTGAGGCACGCGTGGCAGCGGCGGGGGCCGCTGCGGCAGCCATCACGGTTGCGCGATAGCGCGGGGAAAATCACATGAACAAACTGGGGTCATATCCTTAACCGATGACGCATTATACCATCACCCCCATCTGTTCCGCTGCAATGAAATTTTGCCCGCACCTACGGGAGCCGCATCGGAGACGATGTACTGCTTCCGTTCGTGGATATTGGGGGCGCACGCTGCATCCATATAGGTAAATGCATACACTCAAGAACATGGTGTAGAAAGTTCAATTCATGAGCTAGAACACGAAACCTCATGGAACGCTCGTAAAGAAAGAAAAACACACGCACACACACACGACCACTACTTGGTGATGCCGAAATCGGTTTCCGACGGAAAACAAACTATATACACAAAGGAACGGTCGCTCGAACGGTGCCCTGCTAGAAAGCACGCGGTGGCGTAGGCCTCTGCCGTTCAGTTGTTTGTCGGATTCAAAGCAACACAAGGTGAAATTCGAACTAGTGTGCTGGAAGAGGGATGCTATTGAGATTGCGGCGATTCCGCAAAATTTTCCCAAAACAATTGCCCCTCGAACGGTGCCCTGCTACTCAAGTCGTGGGTACCTTCGGCCACCGCCGACAGCTCGGTTGGTAGTTGGTTTTAGAGTGAAGAGTCGAGGTCGAAGTACATGCCCTGTGCAGAAGCACGCATAGCAGCCTGGGGTGTTGTCTGAATGAATGGTAGTGCGCGTACCTTGTGAGGCTGAGTCGTCGGAGATTGCTACATTACAACAGCAGTTTCGTCTGGTAATATTCGGAGGGAAATTTATGTTTAGGTAGCAGTGAGACCCGTCAGGATACCGAGGAGGTTTTTGTGCCGTGCGGAACGTGTGGTGCGGGGAACTCATCTTCCGTAGTGTTATGGGATTTGAGTACAAGGATCTTAATGGCAGATCTCCGCGAGAAATGTAGATCTGGCGGGAACTGCAACTCCTTTGGACTATTGCTTAACGGGGATATAGCCATAGAATGCCCCCTCTCAGCAAGGAGCGGCCCGCGCCCCCTTCCGTTCAGTCCATCTACGGAGCAAAAAACAGCAAGTGTACTGCTGTGTTGCGAGATAACAAGAAAGAGAACAAGAAAACGTGAGTCATCACGGTCTTCAGGGAAAGCTACGCGTTCCCACAACATTTGGCGTGTCTGCAGTAAAGTACTCGCAGTCTCTGGATTCTCTCCTGTTTTTTTTTGTCAGAGCTACCGGCTCTTCTGGCACCCAAAAATTCTGGACGCGTGGTCTGGTTTGCCTCTCTTCTTTCCTTGGTGATATGTCTCACCGTGACGGTAGCGGGGACTGTGTCTGACAGCCCCCTGTCGGGGACGCTGTCTCAGCGGTCTGCGTCTCAGCAGTCTGCACCCTTAGACTTTTCGGCCCGTTAATCGCCATACCTCTACTGCTGTTGGGCAAACAAACATTTTGCCTGGTGCATCAGTCTCTCTCGCTTCGCGCGAGAGTATTGCCCGTACTGCGGCCGTTGAACTCGCGCGTCTGTCTGCGCTTGGCGCTGAGCACAGGCGCGCCAGTCTTTCTCGTGACGATTCGCAGAGCGCCGCTCAGAGTGGTGTGCACATTAGCAAATTTGCTGTTGATGCACCCGCTTCTGGTGCTGAGGTACACACCGGGATTGATCCATTTTGGGGATCCGCCGCACAACAATCTGATGAGCGCATCGCTCTCAGCCTCGCACTCGCTCAAAGCGATATGCGTCCAACCGATGAGCGCATCGCTCTCGGCTTCGCACCCACTACCAGTGGTGTGCGTCCTACCGCACCCGCGTCCAGTGCGTGCTGTCTCGAAAACCAGCGGCGGAAATTTCCACCATACTACTCTTAGTGTGCCAGAAATCCCTCCGTTTTGCCCACAGCAAACTAAGCCCACCAGGGGTGCCGCTGCCTCTCGTTCAATTCCCTTTGACTCCACGAGTAATTGGGCACAAGCCGCCACTCATAACCAGAGTCACCATGCTCGCACAGCACGTTCTGTAGCCCTTGCACCTGCAGCTGTGCCGAGACCCCCACCCATGCTATCTTCTGCTAGCGAACGTGCTGCCACTGCAGCAGCTCTCGAAAAGTCCGCAACGCTGAACACTTTTCTATGTTTCAGCAGATGGCTTCCACTCAGGCTGGGACGACGACGGGAAGGGTCGCTTCCCCAGGACCGCACTCCTGGTGCCGAAAGCGACCCTAACGGTTGGCGCCGCTCCAACGATTCCGGAGCTGGCCGGAGCCGCCAGGGAGGCCGCCCGCGGAACACATCCTCGAATCGGCGCCAAGCGGGAGGCCACCAGCGTGGTGGTGGTTCCGAGCAGCGCCAGCGTGGCCGTGCTGCTGCCGCCTGTTCTTCTTCGTTCTCCGGGCAGAAGAATAAGGTTCGGAGGGGCACCCCCCCAGCTGATTCTGTCAGCAGAACTAGCTCTGGCTCCGCTTCGGAAAACCGTCTTCCTCGGAAGGCTCCTCCTGGCAAACGAGATCATTCGGGTCTCCCCTCCTCCAGGCAAGTGGTACCGTCGTTAATCGATGTTGCTTCCGACGATCGTTTAGACGCTTTTGTTGCGAAACGGTCGTGTTGTGGCCACGGACAATAAGTTGTCTGTTGCCCACCGTACTGCTGTATCTGATGCTGAACCATCGGTCAAACTAGAGCACCGTTCCAGCTTCTACTGAAGGTCGCCTGGAGTCGTTTTTACGGCTTCAGCAATTCGGTGTTTTGGATGGAACCTACTTTTCGGATTATCTTCGGGCTTTCCGTTTGTTGGTTTCGTCGGTTACTGGGTCTGACCGAGTGTTGGCCCCAAGCGTGTCGACGGTCCTCGAGATCGTCAAAAACTCTGTTAGTAAGCAGTTTTCGACTTTGGCACCCGTGTTGTACCCTGGTGATTTAGCTACTGCGGTAACGCCTTTTGGTTCGATCGATGCCATGTGCCAGGCATTCGCGCCTTTGGCTACCAACAAAACCCCTGCGATTGGGGGTTCCAACTATTTTTCTCTGTCTTCGACGCCCAGCTCCACGCAGCCTCGGCGTTCAGCCCAGAACCGTGCACCAGCGCCTTCGGGCCAGCGGTCGCAAGGTTCTGCACAGAACCCTGTTGTACTAACAGTGAGTACTTAGGAGAGCGGTGTGGATCCTTTCACCCCTGATTACAACTCCTGGCCTGCGAAGCAGGCCGACTGGTCGACTGTGTACCAAATCAGCTCTACCTTTCGCAATGATGACCCATTTGTATGGACCACTCTATGACACAAGATGGTCGCTCGCAAGCGTTCCGAGAGAACCGTAATCGTTGCCTCAATTGTGCTGGCGACGATCACTCCATGAAAAACTGCCAATCCCCGTTCATCAACAGTAGTGGGTTGTTGAACCCTGAGCTCGGTGAATTGCAAGACTATTCTGAAGCTTTTAGCCGTTGGCAAGGTCGCATGAGGTCCCACCGTCGCAAACAACAACACGGGACACTTGCTAGTGGTAAGCGCAACTCGCGCCCCACCTCTTCTTCTCAGCGTAGAAATCACGCTGGAAGTCACCGTTCCTCCGGTGATTCCCACAATTCTGGTGCCAACAATGGAAATTTTGACGCCAACAGTCAACAACGCAGCAACGCCCACCACACTGGTGCTCTGCAAAATCAACCGCAATCTGCTCCCGGGGTTCCAACGGCTTCGTCCTCCGGTGTCATGGTCTCGACTAATTACAACGCCCGACAGCCAGGAAATTTCCATACCGGCGGTAGCTCGGGATGACATATCAGTGGCGGTTCGTATACCTCCCCCGAGCCGCCTTTGGCACTATCGAGAAATTTGGCACCTTCGTCACAAGACGTGCGTGCATCAGGGTTGGAGCCATGCGCTCCTG